GCTCACTGCGGCTGCTGGCCGCTCACGCTGGCTGCTGGCTACACACAGTAGCCCATGGCAACCCACTGCCACAGGGGCTGCAGCCTAGCCGTTGCGGGCGACTCACAGCAGCCCAGCTCCAGGTTGAGCTGTTGTTCCGCATCTTGGCTGTAGAGGGCAGTGTCACTGGCCCTCATATGTGGGATCCGAACTGGGGCCCTCTGGTGTCCCAAGCCAGTTCTTAACCATTGCACCACTCGGCTTGCCCCTGAATAGCTTTATATTGAAGCATATTATTATACGTTTAATATAGTATACCAGAAGTGCCCAAAAAATGTATACAAGTGGACACTTTGGTCAACGTTGCTTAAGCAGTAGTTCACCATAATCAGAAGTGTCTGGATGCTGATAGTAACCACTTTGAGCACCTCTTGTAATTGCAGAAGTCAAACGTGACTTGTATTCATCTTTTGCTATCAGCATATATTATTACAATTTTAATACAGGTTTCCTTTCTTAAAATGTGTATACTTTTTTTGGTACAGTCTATATATGTGTATATATCTAGTATCTACATATGGATGGGACATATTCCTATTGCTAACTTAATATCCTAAAGTTTGTATTGTTTATGTTTGAGGTTGGCTGGAGGTGATTATTTATCAGATTCCAAAATGCTACACACACTTGGAGTGTTTATTCTGGATTTGTTTCTGTGCATTGAAAGTGTCTGGTGCAGCTGAAGAATAAGCAAAGTGAGCCAAGTGGGAAAACATCATGAAAAATCTTGAATCCAGGCACAAGTCATTGAAAAAAATAAAACTTGGCAAAAGAATGTGACTATGAGGGTGAGGTAAAATGGGAAGAATGCAGCAAGGCCATCTCTCAACAACAGCGTATCTGAAAACATGGAAACAGGCGACTTCTGGGCTGTTCATTCATTGATTTGAGGAACAGGCCTTTAGAAAATGAGGCTACAAATTTACCTATAATTTCAAATGCAATACAAACACCTTTTTAATGACCTAGCAGTCCAACTCCTGGGTGTATAGTCAAAGGTATTGAAAACAGGATCTCAAAGAGATATTTGTACAGCCATTTCATTGCAGCATTATTCACGATAGCCAAGAGGTAGAAGCAACCCAAATGTCCATTGATGGATGAATTAATAAAGAAAATGTGGTGTGTGTGCGTGTAATATTATGGAGCCTAAAAAGAAGGAAATTCTGCCATATGCTGCAACACTGATGAACCTTGAGGACATTATTTTAACTAAATTAAGCCAGTCACGAAAAAGATAAATGCTGTATAGTTCCTCTTACATGAGGTCCCTAGAGTAGTCACATTCATAGAAGCAGAAAGTAGAATGGTGGTTGCCAGGGTCTGGGGAGGAGGGGAGAATGAGGACTTGTTCAATGGGGAGAGTTTCAGTCATGGAAGATGAAAAAGTTCTGGAGATCACTATGCGTATAATTAACAATACTGTACTGTACACTTAAAAGTTGTCAAAAGAGTAAACTTGTCTAATGTGGTTTTTATCACAATTAAAAAAATACCTTTTTAAAGTCAACAATTGGAAAAGACAGAAAGTTTTTGAATTCAGAGGTGGAAAGAGCTCTGTTTACCCCGACATCTTGCAAGCATCCAGTGTGGAAGTTCAGAAGATGGCTAGCCAAGTGTGTTCACCAAGAAACCACCTTCCCTGCTTGTTAAACATGCCGTCAGGGCTCCTGCACACTGTTCAGTTAGTCATGAAAAGAGTGCTTGGCTTATCTTCTCTCTCCCACCACCATACCTATGTGGTTCTATATATTTCTGTTTATTTTTCCATTTCTTGTGTATCGGTAGCTAACTGGTATAGATAATCTGGTAATTAGACATGTCAAAGGAACAAAGGAAAGACAGTGAGAACTGATGGCCTCGTGTGAAGCTGAATCAGTCAGGATGTCGCTCTAGATACAAAACAAATAAGGAAAAAGTCTACTCAGACATCCCCATGTGACACAGGAAATTTGGCGGGGAGGACTTATTTCTAAGGAGTTATACATTACTTTCTTCCTCTAAAGATTAAGTTTCTTTCCAAATCACCTACTCTCCACACTCCCCTGAAAGGATACACCTTAGAACCATAGGACTGTGTTTTCAGCTGCCTCTGTTCTACATGTTTTTGATGACCTTTCACTTGAGTTTTTTCACCTGTAAAATGTGGGGAATATATTTGTTTTGATTCTGAAGAAAGCTTTACGAGTGTCTCCTAATAACGGCCATAAGACCACCTGTGCTTTCCTAGCAGGAGTGCTATCAGCCCCGAGGGGGCAAAGATGGATGCCTGTCAGGTAGAAAGGGTTTTTTAAATCTTAGTTATTACAATGGTTTGCAAAATCTTATCCCATAGTGTTGATTCCTCTTGGTAAGGAGAATCTGAATTTAATATTTTTTTTCCTTCGTGAAATGATCATGAAACAAAAGTCGACAAGCACTGCCCTTGCCAATGGGAATGTTATTCAGCTACAGCAGAAGTGAATTGGAATGGATGCAAGAGGGGAAAAAAATGATCTTGCTCTCACATTTTTATTTAAAAATGGGAGAAATGGCTAATATCCTCCTCTAATATACAAGCATGCACTTAGTGCTGTCATTTCATATCAGGCACACTGGGTGGAAGCTCGTGTTTAGCATTCGTGTTAAGTCTTTGAGGAATTCTTAGTTCATCCATGTAACATTTCTTTGAATTCTAAAAACACGTCCATAAGCAAATGTTCCTCCTATGGCACAGCTTACCTTTTGCTTAAAACCTGTGGCTCTTCCTACATAGCAGCTCTGGGAGGGCACAGACCAGATCGTGTGCTTTCATTCTTTATGCTACCAGTGCCTAACTCAGTGCTTGGTTGCACGTTCAACCCAACTGCTTATTAAAAATGTTGCGGGTAATGAAAGAATTTTAGCTTTAAATAGAGCTTGGACCAGGGTGAGGCAAGTGAAGTGTCTAGGGAGTAAAATGTAAGGAAGCACTTGCACAACCCTTATGTTTTGGGCCAAAGACTCACCCTAATCTTGACCCTGCTTTCCACAGAAGCAGAGTCCAATTTCCAAACCCTTCCCTTTCAAAGTTGATTTACACAGGCGATTCTCTGGAAGTGATATGGCCACAGGAGCACAGGAACCAGGAATTTAATACAACTATTTCAACACCCCTCCATTCCACTTTTATGAGGAAATTTCTTTCAACTTGCATGTGATTCACATTGACCCCAGAGCCCTAAAATGTTTTACTTCTGTCTTCTAGATCACTACGGATCTGAGGCAGCGTTGCACGGACAACCACACTGGGACGTCAGCCTCGGCCCCCATGGCTGCGGGCATCATTGCACTGGCCCTGGAAGCCAAGTAAGCCTCTATCTCCATATGACTCCACTGGCGGCAGCCCCTCACTCAATGACAATTTACCCTTTCCTAGTATGTCCCTAGCACAACAACCCAGAATATAATCATCCTAATTCCATCTTGCAAACGTCAAAGATTAGGACTTTATAAAACATATTTTTTGCTATAATAAGGAAACAGATAATTATTTTTGTTTGTTTTGTTTTGTTTTTTGTTTTGTTTTTACATCCCTAAAAAAATCAACTGTGTAATGACTTTGTCATGGAGTCATAGGGCAAGCATGCCAATTGGCTCCAACACTCTTGCCTTGTTGAGATTTTCATTCTAGTCTGGGAATGTTCTATGAGTTTCAGAGTGGTCAAGTCTGCCCATTTCTGGGTCCTTTCCCTGCAGAACAATGAGGCAGCTCAGATTCTGTGACAATAGCACCGTCACAGTCTCATTCTTGGGGACAGAATGTTTCAAGTTCATATGACAGGAGCCCAGGAACAAGGACAACTCACATACCTTACATCTTGTTTAATGTAGTCAAATTCTGTGTCTAAAAGATCTCTTTGAAAGGCCCCCTGAGCTTATTTGTGATACATCTCATCTCTTCTTTCTCTAAGTACCAATAGATCAATTTGTCTTAACTCTGAAAATCTAATATATATCTACACTCTCTTGAATCTAGATTTCAAAATCCAAATGCCTGGAAAACTGAAAGCTCTTTTGGAAAATTAACACTAAAACTCATTTAATGGCAAAGATTGCCCTGATTTGATTTGAGGCTGTTGACAGTCTTTATTGTGAAAATGCAGATATTTCACTGAAGAAATATTAATGTATTTGATTATGAGGTTCTGGCTCAGACCCCACTGGAAATTTGTGCAATATATGCTATGGACAAGATATCTTTAAAAAGTTTGAATTTTAAATACATGTGGTACAAGGACTTTAGAAAAGGGATTGTGGTCCTGCACTCTGAGGCTCTCCTTAGCAGAGAACCATAACAAAAAGGAATTGAAGTAGTGATGTGTTATTCCAAAAATAGCCTTGCACCCCTGCCGTAGGGAAGAATGGAAAAATTCTTTCATCTAGTTATAATCTGATGTAGAACAATAGCAGGTGACAGGAAAAAAATATAAGAATCATAACAAGACTCAGGGATTACAATAAAAAGGGACTTTGTATTCTCAGTACACAGGTGGCTTCCCAATATTTTCAGCTGCCCCTCTGTTAAGGCAGAGGGCCCATGTTAAGGCAGTTGGGCCTTAATATAATATTGATAGAGTAAATTGCTAAGTCATCTAACTCCTTGGACTGAGACAGGCAGAGGAAAACAGGCTCTGGATATGGACTGTCTTAGTTTGTTTGGGCTGCTAGAACAAAATACCATAAACTGAATAGCTTATAAACAACAGACATTTATTTCTCACAGTTTTGGAGGCTGAGAAGTACAAGATCAAGATGCGGGTAGATTTGGTGTCCGGTGAGAACCCTCTTCCTCCATAGTTACGTGGCAGAAGGAAAGGGCAAGGGAGCTCTCTGGGACCTCTTTTAAGGACACTAATCCCATTCATACGGACTCCACCCTCGTGACCTAAGCACCTCCAGAGGCCCTACATCCTAATATCACATTGGGTGTTAGGTTTCAACATATGGATCTGGGGGAACATAAACATTCAGACCATAGCAGGAGTCATATCTTTTGATGTTGAGAGATATTCAAGCTCCCAGTAATGTTGGGATTTCTTTCTTTTTGATGACATTAAATATTAAATCATTTCAACATACTATATCATTCAAAGTGTTAAAAAAAGTTTAGGTTTAGCAAGGAACTGGCACTTATCCTATTAAATTCTCACTTTACAACTTTTTGCTGGATTGTTCCAACAGCAGAAGTCTCAAGTATCCGTATTTTTAATTTGGTGACTAAATTGGATTTTTGAAAAATATATCATCGTCATTCTGAAATTCTAGGTTGTTTCTCCAGAATATTTTCCTGCTTATGAAATTTGAAGAAAAAAAAACAATAATTCTTCTTGTACTTCCCCACTCCCCCAAAAAGGAATATAATCTCAAACTTGGCAATCTAGTATCATAACTGTGGCTACATGAATCTCAGTTCCTTGAGATAGTACTATAACACTGATATTTTCAATAATTCTTTTAACCACTATTTAAATAAAGTTGAAATGAAAAAAATCCTTACTTTATACCCCAAACAGCCCACTCAGTTGGATAAGATCATTTGGGGGCTAGGAACACACAGAAAGGCTGCATCTGTTTTGTTTTGTTTTTTTCCCTTGCATTTTGAGCGTTTTTTAAGATTGATTTTGCCCAAACTGTGATGAGTGAAAGGAAGGTCCCAAGATACAGTTTACCAGGAAAAAGCAACTGTATTTTACGATTATAAATAGTCTAGCTCGATCATGGGGCCAAAGTAGATGGTAAATAATCTGATAAAATTAGAAAGAATAAACCTTTTATTGTAACTCCATTGGTTGTGCTCCAGGCCAATGTTTGCCTAGAGGTGAAGCTGAAAATTAGGGGACAGAAGTCGGAAAACTCAAGATGTCTGAAAACTAAGAACTGAGAACTAAGGTCAGGCATTGATGTTACACTACCATCAATAAGCAGTGGGTCTCCAGCATGAGTGAAAAGGATGTAGAACTACAAAATTGTAGCAAGGAGTTCACATAACAGTGTACCAAGCTTACAGTGTCCTAAAGCAAGCCCAAACCCTGGCAAAGGCATCTCACTCATTCACCCAGCCCCCACCCCCGGCAACCTCCTCATATGCTAGTCCTTCTCAACAACACTTGAACCTTGGTGTTTTGAGATTCAACCATTACTCTCACAAGTTGAAGAGCCTGATCTATAAGGTACTCCCTTGTAAGGAGAGAGGAAAGACAGCCACAGCTGGGCAGAATTATGGCTCAAAACACTGCTAACACTCAGATGCGTACCCCTTCTCAGGTCACATGAGTCACTGGATGAGAGTGAGTGTTCAGTTGAAAAGATTCAATCAGAAGCTGCCAGTCACTCGTTAATTGTGTATCCCAGCTATCTTTGCACTGCCAGGAGAAATGCATTGTCTCTCCTAATATCACTAGGCTACCATATGTACTCAGATGAGACTCTCACATCCTCATTAGCTTTCCCTAGCCTTTATGTCCCCAGGTGCTTGCCTGCAGTGGCAAATTTGCCTGGATCATAAGACTGGTGGTCCTACCTTGGATATCCGCTGCAACCATTGACCTCTCTGCCATTCTAATTCTTCTTGCTCCCCTAAGGTCGGAGCTTTTCCAAAAAGCCTTCTTAGGAAACTAAGAGAAAAGAAAACAAATACAAAACATAGAAACAGATAAGCTTTAAGTGTCCAGATCTCTTATCTGAGCGCAACAAAAGTTAGGTCATGAATTATGCTGTGACAGCTACTAGGACTCCCAGGCCATCTTTTTCCTACGGGGTATGTAAGGACATGTGTTGCAACAACTCCACTATAACACACCCCCAGACACTTGGGTAAAAGTGTGTACTCCCAAAACTGGAAGGATTCACAGTTCCTCTAGAAATCTGCCTGCTTTCCTTTTATTTCCTGAGTTGGAGCCTTTTTAAGCTCTACAACCGCCTCCGACAATCTAATCATGAATTTTGCCTCTTTAATCAACTAGATGTGTCCTAGATGCAGAAAGCTCTAAACCTTTTACCCTTCTGAAAATCATGAGCAGTTTCAGAATAAGCGAAAATACTTAGAGAAGGGAGAAAACAGTTTTGTGTTGTGGTACCCTTATCACATATGTATTGGTTCAGAGGTTTATAATATTTCAATTATTTGGATTTGTGGATTTGGGGATAATTTTCTGGTTTTTCAGCTGAATGAATAGGGAATATGTAATCAGTGATTACAAGTGAACTAATTACCATTTGGTAAAGATACCTTTTTATATAGCATAGCTTTAAAAGTTCAAATAAAATGAGTGGCCTGGGTGTAGGTTTCTTAAATGAAGAAGTAGTGAAACATGACTAATAGTTTTAGGTGAGCAACCTAGAAGAATGCCAAGTAACTAACATCTGTAAGGAGCCTTACATCTCGATGCTTATATATATATCTCCAGTACTCTAGACCTGTGGAAATAAAGATTTGCTAGCAAATGTGTCTCATATATAATGGTGTATAAAATGAAGTTGAAGTAACTCACATTCATAGAAACATAGTGTTCAGAATCATAAACTGTTTTACTGAAAGTTTTCCTGTTCTGAGTCTGCAACTATTAGCAAAGAAAAACTATTTTAGTAGAGTATTTTATATGTTAAATTATCAGCATTATCTCAGGAAATTCAAAATTTAAGTTCACCAAAGAAACCTTTTTGCTTTGAATTGCAAATGGTCTCTCATTGGAAAGTTGAACAATATATGTCCAGTAATCAAGAAATGTTGTACATTAAATGGTAAATAAAAGGAAGTGAATTGGGCAGAAACTTCTGAAATTTTTTAGGACTTAGAAGGAAAATATTGACTTAGAATCAAGACTCATGTACAAATCCTTGTTTTAAGTGATGACCCGAAAGCCTTTTCCTCAAATTTCATATCTCAGGGGACACAGGGATACCTTCCCTTGAGAATGTCTAATATGTCTAGATCTAAATTTAGAAAACAAACAAATTGGGATGGCAGCTGTTATTCTATTCTAGAAATATACCTGGTACCTATTTAACATTAGCTGCCTCTGTTATGCTACATAGTATACACATACATGTACACACATTTCTAGGTAGACTCATTTACTTCTTATTACCTATCTGTTTTCTCCTATTTCAAAATGTCTTGTTACCACTGGTTTATAGAATATGCCATATAGGCATACATACAACATAAATTATAGAACATATATAGAGAGAATATAGTTCTCTATTTAGACAGTTTCTAATGTTGTACTACAGATGTTTTCGTATGTATTATCTTCCAAACAAGGCTTACACTCTTTGAGATTACAGTTTTTATTTATGTGTATATA